GAATCTCTCATACATTGTCAACTGCAAGTTGTAAATTTGGAAAGGCTGTTTAAATAACTTGGATAAGTTCAATTTGGCTAATCTCATCTAATTAGACGTCTGCTTTGAGCCCTTTTAAACTGTTTCATTTAGATGCTTCAAATTCAGTAGAGATATACCATCAGGTAAGACGAGGAAATTAATGCATTAATGAATAATATCACATTTTATTAAGTATAATCATTCAGAACAATACACTCATCTAGGATCTAAGGGCTATTTAACTGACACATGACAAGATACAACAAAATATGCTTATCAGAAACACAAAGTGGAATTTAAACTGGATATCCAACATCCAGCTCACAAACAGGAAATCTCTTCCTTCCTTGAGGCAAAGCACATCCCGTTTTTACACTGACAGGAATGCAACTCACAGACAGAGGTCCTCTGCCTTGAGAAATGTGTCTTGAAAACTAAATTAGCTGACCTCAATCTAAATGGGGCAGGAATGCATTCAAACTGTTACAGGATTAATGAAATACTCAAAAGTAAATCCTCTCACAACCCTCTTTTTATACCTAGTGTGGAATTAACCTCCCCCCTACCTTTATTAAAAGATATTGTTGAAATATATTATGTTGATAATGTGGTAATAGTCAGTTTGATTGGATTTATTTGTCTGTGCAGATTGCTTTAAGTTTGAAGATAATTAAGTTTTAGAGTGTTTCTTTTATCTTAAAAGTGAACAATCTTTTATTCATCAATGTCCTTATGGTTTGAGACTCAAGGGCAGTACTACTGATAAGATTCTGGAGGTGCCTTGATCAACACTTTCCCATTGTCTGTTCTAACAATACTTCTAAAAGTACAGTGAATGTAATTAGTAGAAATAAATAAAACAAAGTATTTATTAACAGCTGATTATGAATGACTTACTCTTCAATTGCAGCATATTTGAACTACTTCTTCTAATCAATCATCTGTAGTGCACAGTTGCTACGCATAATATTAGTGATTATTATGTTCGAGTGGCAGAGGGTGACCGCTCAAGTTAGCCTCTGTGGTTTGTTAGACTAGGTTAGAAATCACACAACACCAGGCTATAGTCCAATAGGTTTATTTGAAAACACAAGTTTTTGGAGCCTCACTCCTTCTTCAGGTGTTAGTGAGAGAGGTGGAATCAGACACAGAATTTATAAGTAAAAGATCAAAGGGTCACACCACCGATGAGAATGTATTAAACAAACCTACGATGCTGTTAAATCTTTAATCAGTTAGAAGGTTTTAATTGATTAGTATATATATGTAAATCCCCAAATTTCTTTCAAGTCGGGGATTTACACATACATATTAATCAATTAAAACCTTCGAACTGATTAAAGATTTAACAGCATCGTAGGTTTGTTTAATACATCCTCATCGGTGGTGTGACCCTTTGATCTTTTACTTATAAATTCTGTGTCTGATTCCACCTCTCTCACTAACACCTGAAGAAGGAGTGAGGCTCAGAAAGCTTGTGTTTTCAAATAAACCTATTGGATTATAACCTGATGTTGTGTGATTTCTGACCTTATCCACCCCAGTCCAACACTGGCACCTCAACGTCTTTGTTAGACTAACAGTATACATATTTTTGAGAAGCTTCGCTAAAAGTGGTCAAGTTAAGCACACTAAATCTAGAATGAGTAAACCAGATCTGCTCACAAAATTCAATTATTTTAATTCACTTTTGGCTGGTCACTCAATCTTCATAATCTTTAAACTTTAGCTTGTTGAAAACTGTGCTGTTTGTTTTCTATTGCACACTAAGTCTCACTCATTTATTGTTCCTATCCCAGACTTACAAAGACCCTCAGTTCTCCAATTTAGAGTGATCATTGTCATGTTTAGATGCCTCACCCTTCTGTTTCTGTGACACTGGCAGAGATGAACCAGGTGCTAGAATTAAAAGTGTAACAAAGAAAACATTTAACATAATTAAAACACTTACCTGTCATTGAGCTTAAGGCAGACTTCAAAGGGCACATCTATACCTTTTGATTTCAAAGCAAGCATGGCTTTGTTGGAATTGCATGTCACCAGTCAACTTTCCTATTTAACTCCACCCATGGACCTATGCTACAATCGGAAAAGCTAATTCCTGCTGCAGCCAATGAGAAAAATATGAATATAGTTTTAAATGCATATGCCTCCACTTTGCTACTGATCACAAGTTTCGTGTTAATGCTTCCATGAATACAAATTCAGAGCAACTGTAATTTCAGTCAATGCCCATATTGTGTGTGCACACTGTACTTTTCCACTAAGCTTCCTTTGGTGCAAGTGTGTGATATGTGACCCTTTAAACCCAATGCCCAAATGCTACCTGTGTAGTAGGAATATATAAGGTAGCCTCTGTGTAGTTAGATTGAATTATTTCTGATTGGGAAGGAAATTATCTCCTGAGACGGATCTGCAACAGACTGCATTTTGTGTCAGTGCATGTCCCTGATTTATTGGAAAGAAAACCTAGAGGCACCAATAAGTTCAGAGAAGTTTTGCGAGTTGGTTAGCGAGCATATTGAAGACAAAACACACCTCCATTTCCAGTCTGGGTCCAAACTCTCTACAGCTGAAATCTGAGCACCAAGGGCAGTAGATTGTTTTTATGGGTTATGCAGTAGAATGAAACTGATCTAATGGACTTCACTGCTGTGAACCTATGATGCTAGTGTTGCAGGCGGTGGATTCTCTCAGTAACCTGGCATCTGCTGCACAATATGGAGAACCTTTTCCAGTACCTGTAAATATGTTCAATGATGTGTAAGCGTCTTTTTTTTAAAAGCAAGGCTCATGAGATCTGAGCACCGAAACAATGACTGTTGACATTGCCATCAGCAATGCATTCTGCCCCACAACTGCTTCTCCTAACCTGCACAGCTCTGTGTGCATTCCCCTTTGGCTCCTCTTTAATTTCCCTTGAGTGAATGTCTCAAGAGTTAGTGCACAAAGTAGAAAGACTGACTGAGTAATGACACATGTGATGCGGTGCTGGTGGGATTAAAAGCAGAAGGATCTAGTTCATTTTCTTTCTTTGCTTTTTTTACCTGAACACATTAAAAAGTGAAGAATTGGTCAGAATGGGCTGTTGTAAAGTGGAACATGCATCATGTCAGGGTTGTATGATTGACTTTGCTGACAGTTAATGTGTGGCCCAGTGTTCTCAAATACCATGCAAAAAGCATGTCCCTTTGACTTTTTTCTAACTTTGAATCCTTTCTGAGGAGTTAAAGTATTCCTCTTCATCTAAATGTGAGAGGCTGGTGATGGGTTTGCATCATTTGTTACTAATCTCTGTCCATTTCTTTAGAAAAATGCTGTTATTGTCAAGGGATGCAGTTGAGCTCAGCTGACATTGGTGTTATAATCTAGTTAGGAGCAGTGAACTGACAGTGACATACATTTCGAATTCTCCTTTCGGCAACTTCCACTTGTCATGATGAGATTTTCCAGTGGGTTTACCAATTACAAACTTTTGAGAGGAATTTCAGAGGAAATAGAGAGAGGTCAAATGCTTTTGCTCCTGAGGCAAGTTCTCTCAGACTCTGTTCAAATCCAATCTGGATCATGTAACTCTCTCACCAAGAGTTGCAGACTTGGTGTCTCCATCCAAGCAGCTGTTCCTTGCAAATGCAACATTGTTGCTGCTTTGGCAGTGTTTTTGGCTTTGCAAAATGTTCTTTTGAAACACAAGTCCAGACGATTATATTGTAGATCAATATTTTGGATAACACACCAATAAAAATAGACAAAAACCAAAAGAACTGTGGATGCTGTAAATCAGGAACAAAAACAAAATTGCTGGAAAAGCTCAGCAGGTCTGGCAGCATCTGTGGAGGAGAAAACAGAGTTAACGTTTCGGGTCCCGCGACCCTTCCTCAGAACTGATGGTGGCTGGGAAAACGTCAGTTTATATGCATATAAACTGCATTTGCTGCATGTAAACTGGCGTTTTCCCAGCCACCATCAGTTCTGAGGAAGGGTCGCCGGACCCAAAACGTTAACTCTGTTTTCTCCTCCACAGATGCTGCCAGACCTGCTGAGCTTTTCCAGCAACTTTGGTTTTGTTCCTAATAAAAATAGACAGTCCATATCAGAGTACAGAAAACAAGGAGCTACAAACCTAGGGAGCCCCTCGTTGTCACCAATATAAGGGCTGGAGTTGATGGTTGGAGTAAGGGACTGTGATAGTCCTTGGACACTAACAGTAGGACAATGTCTCCCCACAGGCTGTCCCCTGAGACACACACTAGGACAAACATCAACTGCGTCTGGACGGCCATCAACTTGGTGAAAGACGGCCTTTGGTCTGCCCGAAACTTGTTAGTTTTCCACAGCAAGGAGTTGGCCTCGACCAAGGCTTGCAGACTGACATATTCCAAGGTCAAAGGACTGCGTGCTGAGGGATTCATTAAAGGTTGGGGCAGCTGCAAGCAAGGCGCAGTGAGAAAGACCACCGTCTGAGGTCTTTCTGTCAAAGTTAAGTAGGGCGTCAGTCCAATTATCAGTTACCGCTTGGTGCCTCATATGTATGTAAATATTGTATAAGGAAGAAATGCTTATGGTTTGTTGGTAAATAGAATCAAACTCCAATGTTTGTTTAAAGAGTTGTCTTGAGGAAGAGTCACTGGACCCGAAATGTTAACTCTGATCTCGCTCCGCTGATGCTGCCAGACCTGCTGAGCTTTTCCAGCAACTTCTGGTTTTGTTTCTGATTTCCAGCATCTGCAGTTATTTCGGTTTTCATTCCAATGTTCGTTCGTTTCTTCGCAGGCCTCTTTAAAAGAACGGAACTGCTTGAGTGGCTGTGCATGTATACAAAGTTATTTTATGAATGAAATATCTATTTTTGAAAAGTTAAAAGAAAGTGACAGAGGAGTAGGTGACACTTGAGGCAGTCTTTGTTCGGTTGCCAAAGAGAAGTGTGTGGCCCTTTAAGAAGTCAATTGCAGTTTGTTGCCAGTTTCATTCGGGATGAAGTGACGAGCATGGCGCTTGTGTTCGTGGTTATTCGCGTCTTGTTGGGGCTGTTCTTTATGCTGACGGGAGCGATCAAGCTGACGGATCGGATCTCCCCGGAATTGCATGCGGAGGCGGTGGGTATGAGCTGCTGCAGCGCTTCTCCTACAAGCCCAGAGAATATCAGAAGCACAGCCATCCACGTTGGCGCTGAATTTACCAGGGCGGCTGGTTGGGGGGGGGGAGGTTAGAAAGAACTGCTACATTTTGGGGAGATTTATGCTGCTTAAACACACACATTTCTAAATCAGTATCTGCTAACCGAGAGAAGGTTCGAGGAATTTAAAAAGTTCGAGGCTTGTGCAGCATTTTAAAATCAATGTGCAGTAAACGAGCTGCACTTTGCTTTCACTGTAACTAATATTTCCAGATGTGTTGCAGCGTTGAATTTGCGCTCTCTTTCGGTCCGCACCTTGTTTACCGACTGATCCAAACTTTAACATGGGCTGGAAAGCGGTCCACTTCGATAAACAGGGATTTTACTCGCTCTTCCAGCATTGAGAAGTCGTTCTTTTTTTAAAAAAAAATGCAACAATGAAATGTGTAATTAAATATGGATGAATTCCCCCCCCCCCTCCACCAACCAGCGTTAATACGATTCAATTTTTTAAAGTTCTTGTCGCAAACCTGCCAAGGGACTCAAATGATGTTGTACAGGGGGAGCTACATATGGGGATTGGAGAAGTTCGAGCTTTCAGTTGCAGAAAAGATAAATACAGATTTGGGAGGCAATATCCCATTCAAGCACCTTGAGAGAAAAGGAAAGTGGAAGATTGCAAATAAAGAAAGGTTAAGAATATTTTAGTGATGGAAATGGGGTGATGAAAGGGAGGTGACTGACAGAATTGGGGAAGCATTTACCATGCCCACTGTTATGGGGATGTGAATGACAGTAAAAGGTGTTGGGCAGGATTTAACAAACAAGCAGTGGGTCTCGTGGACAAGATCAGGTCTTATCACTGAAAAAGGGTGCAGGAGAAAGGTCCAAAATGTAGGTAGGCCCAACTTGATACGAATGTCACTAGGATTGCACTGTTTCATCCTCAGTATCTGGAATTTTCATGGTGTGGTGGTAGTGCAGTGAACCATTTCCCTTTATCCTGTCTGTATTTTCAGAGGAGGTGACACCATTTTTACTTAATTTGGTTGCATGATGTCCAGCGATCCACGGGTGCTTCTTGCAGGGCTTGGGGTCGATATCAAAACTCCTCAAGCAAAGCCTTCAGAGTGATCTTTCAACTCTTCCTCTAGACTGCCATGAAAGTGCACCCCAGACAGCACTGTTTTGGTTGATTTTCTGAGCGAGTGTCAGGCATTCTGGCTACGTCACCAACACACCTAAGTCCTGACTCTTTCATTGTGGTGTCAATGCTTTGGATGCCAGCTCAGGTGGGCACCTCAGTTTCTGGTATTTGGTCCGATCACCTGGCCTTTAACAATTTCTGAGGGTAGCTCAAGTGAAAATGATCGATCTTCTTGGCATGATGCTGGTAGACACAGTCCAAGTAGAGCAGAGTGGAGAGGGCTATTGCTCTGTAGACTTTGTTTGGCAGGCAGACTTACTTCTCTTTATTCCCAGACTGATGTTTGAAGTTGCCGAAATTGACAATTCCTGCACGTACCTTTTTGATCTGGATAAATTGAATTGGCGTGCTGCTGAGATGTTAACTTATCTGCTGTGATCAGTTTTGGTCATGGTCTGGAGTTATGGCTATCTTGGCACAGGTTGATACATTGCTTCAGTTTTCTTCATGCTGACTGTAAGGCTGGAGTTATTGTACACATTGAACTGACAGCCTAATTTATTACATCAGCTTACAATGCCCTCAGTCTGATGTTGCACAGCCTGGAACAGTGAGTTACTTGTCTCAGCACAGGCACAAAGCAGATTCAGGATTTACCCTTTGGATATGAGGATGTTGGCTCCTTTAGGGCAGTAATCAATTTGTGCCCAGTTCTCATGTATGCACTGAAATGAGTGCCAGTGGCAATTTGATTGTGGTGCAGACTACAGATGAACTCAATCTTGTTTTCATTGGACATCTATAAATTCAGCAAGGTTATTGGACACTAATAAGGTGTAGGAAACTTATTGGCGTAAAAGAACAAGTGGCAATTGTAGCGGCCCACCTGATGTTCTGACAGAGATAAGCTAAGCCAATGCCATCCTAGGATAGAATGTTATGCGAAAATGTTTGACAAGAAAACATGGAAAATTGGAGAGAACAACACATCGGCTACTCCTGCATATCTGTACCAGAGCAAGATAGTGTTTGTTCTGGTGCGACAATGTGACTGAACCATCACTGACAGCGGCAGTGAAACAGCAGAGCCTGGTTTAGGAACTGAGCCTGCATATAAACATTTCCCTTCCTGTGGGAACACCTGTATATTATTTTCAAAAAGGCACACTTCGCTCCTACAGCTGTGTTCCTGTTTTTGTTACGACTTTGCCAGTCAATGATGGTTTCAGTCAATGAAATGGAATTTTTTTAAGTTATTAAATTAACACAAGACAAGAAAAGACAAGGTTGAGTGGAACCATTAGCTTGAAGAAGCTTATCTTCTGATAGATAAAATACAAATGTGACTAACATTGTAAGAGTATGTATAAATTCTTATCTCACTGTGTTCTGGTCACAGTTTTTCACAAAAAGAGTATGTGCTTCGCAAGTCAGATGTAATTAGTTGATTTTGATTGGGAGCTGCTGCTTAAGTTCCACCTGTGACTGTTACATGAGGAATTAAAAGGGGGCTACACACTTTGAACAAAATGGGATTTATTTGTGACTGAGACCGTGTATCAGAGACCTTTCACATTTACAGATGTGATTAAATTCACCATTAGCTGTCTACCCACAGAAGTAGAATTCTTGGCAAGGGCAGAGCAAAAAATAGAAAGCTGGGCAAGAAACGTTTAATCATTTTTGTGGGCTGTGCAAAATGCCTTGCCGTATTAAAGATGTGGTTCCTTCAGCTATTGATTTATTTCTCATTAACACACATATTTGTCAAATCGTATTTGAGAGCTTTTGAAGACTTTTTTGAATTGACTGCAAATTTAAAACAATGATTTGAAATGGTTAAGTGTCTTGGGGCATTTTGCTGAGGTAAAGGCACTATGTTAATACAAGGGGTTATTGTCTGAATCTCTGCCACCCCCAAATGACCTCATCATTCCTCTGCCCCTCCCATAACTCCCAAATACTGTTTGAATAATTTCAATCTGCATACCCCCCCATCCCCAAAACTTCTTTGTGCTTCATAATTCATGTCTGGGCCCAATAATCTAACATTCATAAATCCCTCTTTCACCTTTTAAGACCCTCTTTAAAACTCATCCCATGGGTAAGGCTTTGGTCAAACCATCCAAATTTTACCTTTCATGACTCAACAAAGATAAGTTTCTTTGGACTTTTTGTGTTAAAGACACTATAAAATGCAAGCTGTTGTTGATTTAGTGTTGGAACAGACAGTGAACGTCACTGTAATATACCACAGGATTATTGAGTCCTATTTACCATCAGAACTGATAATTGCACTGTGCCCATCTCCCTATTTCTAACGTACCAGTAAGGTCACAGACCCCCAAGATAGACCAGAAAAGGGCCACAAAGCAGCTTAGATGAAATACAGAAAGGGATTAGAAAAGAAACTTGCAAGGGACATCAAAATCAACAAGAAATTTTATAATTACATAAAGGATCTTCAACAGCAAAGGAATGGTTATCTTTTTGTTTTATCAGTTGCTGGACATTCCAAATACGGTCTCCATCTGGCTAATCAGTCTTGAAATAACTGCACAGAGGCTGGTATCCCGTCACTTAATCACCCTTTATTTAAATACGCACATTACACTGCCTCTGACCAGCTAGTCCCTAGACTGAGGAGATTCTGAATCCCTTGTTTATATCTATCATCCAGGGCTCCCTGATTTGCCCAGGTTAAAAGCCCCAGTCAAGGATCTTATAGTCAATGAGATCCACTTGGCCATCATTCCAATTACTACAAATCTCCAACAGGAAGACCAGCAGTCACTTGAAATATCAAATTGAGATGTCAGCTTGGGCAGGTTAGGTTAGTATCCTGGAACCGTGCTTCCCAAACCTTTCCCTGATGTGCCTTTATGTAACCTTGTGTGTGCGGAGGTGTGTGTTTTAACTCTTGAGGGAGTGGGTCAAGGGTTAATTCTTGAGCTGCAGGTGGAGAGGGTGGTTAAGCTGTGGAGTGCAGGATGGAGTGCATTTATCTCATGGTCTTATTTGAAAAATAACACCCCCACAGCAGCCTCAGAGCATGTGATCCCAAAATCTCAGTGGGTTTATGACTCATAATTTGGGAAACCCCTGTGCTAGAATCTGAACTGCAGCAATCTGCGATATAAGTAGGGTCTTGTAACAGGCTGTGTGAGAACTGCTCAACTTGGGCTGTTGTCTGGCAGAATTTCCTGGTGTGTTCACATTGAATCTATAGATGGTGGCTTGTATTAATAAATTCATTTTTCAGGGGCTTAAAGGGTAATGAACATTTACCTTGATTTTGAAATATTTCTTTGCAGTTTTGTGAGTTTTCGATATGTAAGGACTTTATACTAGAGAGGATCAATCTTGTAATTTCTATTTTTAAATTTCCTAATCTTGTATCACTTCTTACTTTAAGGTATTCTTGTCTTATTCCAACATTAGAATCACCTTCTGGAGAGTTTCTCATTGGATGATGCATTTTGTGGAATTAACATCACAGCCTGTCCATTCAGACATTTATTTTCATTCCACAATGCAGTATCTAGGGATTAATTCCTGCCCCACAAATTCCACATTTCTGAAAGGATACATTTGGTCCCTTTTTAAATATATATTTTAAGAATCAGGATATCTTACCTGATTTTGTTCCTAAGCTTTTGTAGCAATGCTGTCCTCTGCTGTGGATTCTCATGTTTTTTTCTGAAAAGCTGGCTCAGATAAATTAAAGCTGCACCTTCAGTCACTGCTCTCAGCAGACACTGCTCAGCTAGTGAGCAGCTCCTGGGTCACTTATTCTTTCTCATACTTACAGCAAAGTGCTTCCCATGCAATTT